CAGTCGCACGCATGACCATAGCCTAACGTGCTACTTGTCTGCGCCCTCTCGCCTCTGACCGTTATCTACCGCTGAGTGCGTGTTTCGCTGCACAACCTTGGTATCGACGCAACTGCTGCTGCACCATAAGAATAGCGCAGGAGGGGTATGGAAACGCACTCGGGTACCACCACCGTACAGCCTCTTTCCTGTGCTATTTCGAGTGGAGAAAGGTACACGCTGCTGCGGACCCATTTACCTCCCACATGGCAAGGAGAGTCCTCACAGGTCAATGTACAGTTCGTCCTCAAAAACGAAGCAACAAGGAAGCAGAACCGCTCCTGTTTTCCAAACATTCCTTTATGTGGAGGACTTCAATGATTGTGGCTTCAGTCTTCCCATCCACTAAGTTTGGTATCCCTTTTGATGCAGTTTCTTTATTTCAACCCGACTTTTTTGGCACATTGGTGCGCACTGCAAGAAAAGCCGCGTGAGACGATGACATGTTTTCTGCTATCAAGGTGGTTCATAGTGTCCCAAGCAGACATGCGCAGAACCACTGGCAATCATATTGTCGCCAATAAGTTGAATAAATGTCCTACCTACATAAAAACCTCATAAGGCCTAGAACAAGTGGGACCTTCACTCGCCGGTCTCATTTTTTGAGAGTGTTCTATGACTGTTGAAACTGATTAAGCACCTGAATGATAATGCCGCATGACAGCGAATGTTCGCCCTTATAAGCAAAAACATACGCAGGTTCCGTGTCCGACGGAGTAAGTATTGATGACGGAGTGTCGGTACGTAAAAGAAAAGAGGCAAAAATGAAGACGTCAGGAATTTCATGTAGTCGAACTCCTTCCGAATGAAGGTACAGTCGCGGAAAAAAGAGACTTGGAACAAGACCAAATCGCGCAGTTGATAGTTCAAGTAGCTGTCTCTAAAAGTAAGAATGGGTTGGTTGGAGTGAGTTCGTTGAAGGGACAACTCTGAAGCAATTACGCTGGGGGCGATGAAGCACTTTGTGGAAGGGGGGGGGCTGCGCGGTGGGGTGATGCTGGCCGAATGCTATACACTCGTAAGCTTGTACTGTCTTTTATATTCTTAACGAGTCTATTACTGACTTAAGTAGATTTTCTCGCATGGAAGAAAAACTGTGTTGGTTTAGGGAGGAAGGCCCGATCGGGGGCTTTTGAAACGCGCAGAGCACGCTTGTGACAAGTGGCGCCCTTGGCCAGTATATACCGATCACGAAAGGACTTTGAAGCGCACGGGAAGGGAAACAAGAAGTTTTAGAGAACACATGGGGGGGTCATCAAGAAGAGCCTTGAATATATCAAGGCTCCAAATACAGGTATGTTCAGGGATACCCCCGTCCAGGGTAAGAGACTGGACGTTATTCCATGACATGAGAGACATCTAGAGAAGCATTCAGTGACTGTACATCATCTCTTCTAAAGAAGGAAGTATAAGAACGGGAACTCTCAGGACCGCGATAATCCATAAAACAGTCATAGACAAGACTGAAGTGCAAATTGGGTTGGCACATAAGTACTTTCGTTTTTTTCAACCGGAAATTTCGTTCCAAAGATGAAATGTTTTGCTAGCAAGCTTGATATCATCTGATAGGAAACTTCACGTAGTTTTAGAATATCAAAACGGCTTCGGTTGAGGGAATAATTTTTGTGGATTTTTTAGTCGTTGAAGTTGAAAGCGAAGTCGGCGAAAATTAGCACCTTCGACAACTGCCTCTATTTACGTATAGTCGAAGTGCTAAAATCGCTTAAGCTGCTCCATACATTTGGAAAAGGTCGAGCTAGAAGTTCCAGCAAGGGAATCTCACTAGGACGCTTTGGAACGAATTTCAAGAATTTTGAAGTTACCAACCTTCACCTCGCCGATATTGGGCAGCTCACGTCTGTTCCACCTGAAATTTTATGCTAATATTTGAATGTTTCGCTGATATGTTTTGCATGTTCTGATAGCAAATTTCGTGCTCTATAACACTGCTATAGAAATCTGTTCTCCAGAGGTGTTTGCTTTCTGTTAAGTTCAGGTTATCATAGAAATGCGAAGTCGTTGAAAACTAGGGTTCCCGTTCTCCACGAATTTTATGCTAACATTTGAATGTTTCGCTAATGTGTTCTATATGTTCTGATAGCCAATTTCGTGCTCTATAACACTGCGTTGCAGTTATTTTGAAAATCCGTTTGATGAACCTTTTTTCAGGTGGATAATATGGAATGTCAGGTCGATAAGCATCAGCACTTCAGACATCTCCTCCTTTTCGCATTCAACAGAGGTATCAGAGCTGCTGATGCTGCTCGGGAAATTCCGCTCGAGCTATCCTAACTTAACTCTGTTACTGCTAGCTTACTCAAACCATGGCGATTCTATTGAGCTGCTCTAGGAGCTTTGAAGCTTCAGTGGACAGCGGTTGAGAGAGGAAGTCGGGAACTCTAATTCTCATCGACCTCACGTTCCGTAAAGATAACCTGAACTTAACAGAAAGTAAACAGCTCCGGAGAACTGATTTTTATGTTATGTTATAGAGCACGAAATTGGCTATCAGAACATATAGAACACATTAGCGAAACATTCAAATGTTAGCATAAAATTCGTGGAGAACGGGAACGCTAGTTCTCAACGACTTCGCGTTTCGTAATGATAACCTGAACTTAACAGAAAGCAACACTTGGAGAACAGATTTTTATAACAGTGTTATAGAGCACGAAATTTGCTATCAGAACATGCAAAACATATCAGCGAAACATTCAAATATTAGCATAAAATTTCAGGTGGAACAGACGTGAGCTGCCCAATATCGGAGGTGAAGGTTGGTAACTTCAAAATTCTTGAAATTCGTTCCAAAGCGTCCTAGTGAGATTCCCTTGCTGGAACTTCTAGCTCGACCTTTTCCAAATGTATGGAGCAGCTTAAGCGATTTTAGCACTTCGAGTAGACGTAGAGGCAGTTGTCGAAGATGCTAATTTTCGCCGACTTCGCTTTCAACCTTCACCATACAAGAAATTTACAAAATATATTCCCTCAGCCGAAGGCGTTTGCGATATTCTGAATACGTGAAGTTTCCCTATCAGATGATAATTAAAGCTTTGGCTAGGAAAACCACATTTCATTTTGGACGAATTTCGCGGTTGAAAAAAACGAAAGTTACTTATGTTGCAACTCAATAGATACCACAAAAATTGATTTCGTCAATCATTAAATAGTTTCCTTCGTCACGCTGGGTGCGCTGTAAGGTGTTGTTATGAGCACATATATCTTGGTTTTGTCCCACAATTACGAAATTACGGCACGTTCGTTCGGAGACTCATGTGAAATATACAAAACATACTGAAAGCGTTCCTGGATTAACCGAGATTGCTGCAGGCTGCCTAGTCTACAGTCAGCTTTGTCAACTCCTAATTCCGGCGTTGGATCATCACTAAATTCACCTGATCCGATGAGTAAAAAACTGTACTGAACAGTGTCGCACAAGTTGTGCTTTACTTTCTTTCAGAAGTCGTGTGAAAATTGCGAGAGCCTAACGTCCTCTTGGCAGTTTCTGTTCGTTCCCAAATGTATTTAAACTGCAGGTTTTCCATCTTGACATTGTATTAAACTTGCCTATCAACCTCCATTATCGCTCTGGAGACACTACAAATAAGTAAGTAGGATTTTTGTTGAGCCTTATACAAACTCTATTGTTCAAAGCTCTTTTTTAACCTCACAGAGTTCACAGATCGATTTCGGCACGGCATGATAGCACAACGATGCGATAAGATAATTGAGAGGATTGAGATCAAGCTTTAAACTATGCGATACGAGAGCTCGTGGCTGCAATAGTCAAACAATGGTCGTCGCTCTTGAAAATAAGCAATTGAAAAAGCGCAGGGTTCTGCCCTCGTGAGCACTGTAATCGCTACGCTATTTCCAAAACAGAGAGCAGCCGGTATTGGAAACCTCTTGGGCTGTATAGCATGGGAAAGACAATTTACAACTTTCGCCCAGTTTCTTTGACTATTTCATGTTAATTGGCAGGTTTCATTTTGCTGACCATGAGACCTAAATTCGTGTTAAGCTGCGGAATGGTACAAGTGAGTGAGCCACTCTGGCTGCCAAAATTCACAAAATTTTACAGGTAACCACATGGTGGCCGTAGGTTGGCTTAGTACAAATCAGTGCCCCCCCACCCCCACAACGGAAACGGCAGTGCATCCCTGTGTGTGAGGGTAAATTCAGCGCTTAGACAGAGAAGAAATTTTGCAACTTAAAAGTAGATTTAAATGTTGTGTTCTAATAGCTATCAATCTCAAAAAGTTGCATTTCTGTTCTCACATCCGTCTGGGAATCAAAGCTTGCTCATTCTTGTCTTTGATTCCATCCGGCGATCGCTGTTCGCTAAGGCAAGGGGAGGTGTTCTGGACACTTCCCCCCCAGTAGTTTCCTACTACGTTAGATTCACCAAAAGGTGAGATTTGTAGACGTTATCAAAATGACAGGTGTAAAACGAAGCGCTTCCATTAGCAGAAATACTGCAGATCATCGCAGGAGGCATCGTCATTGATGCGACGAAGAACAGCTAAACCTCTCCAGTCGCGAACGCGTGCCGCGAAAGCCTGTTGAGAATCCTTTGGGGGGTTCTGTTCAGTGTCCCCCGAAGTAAACACAAGGAACAGGCACCTCCGTGTACTCGTATATTGCAGCGTTTTGACTGAACAGTACTCGCGACCTTCAAAAAACGAACCTTACTTGTAAAAAGATCTGCTCTTGCGAGAAACCAAAACCGACATCCGAATGTTTACGGCAATGCATTGCCGTCCCAAAAAAGCTGGGAGTCATTCTTTTCTTAATTTTCTGCGGATCAACTTTATTGAGGCATTCACTGAAGCCTGAATAGAGTAAATCGATAAGAATACATAGTTTAGAGGTCGCTGGTGGGTATCCAATTAAGCACTGAGATTTCTGTTCCATCATGTGTCGAAGTACTGTGTCCTTCTCTGTTTTATATCGCTGCAGTGTCACGACTTGAGAGTCCGAACTGAGTGATGTCGTGCAAAGTTATCTAACCTATAATTTCTTTCATTTTGTCTGTTTAACTATGATTAATTTTGATTCTAATTCTTTTACTAACCCAGTTGGACTACCTCGTATTTTTAGCGTACATGAAGCGCAGTAAATAAACAAAAATAAATAAATGAATAAGTAAATGTTGGGTTCACCTTGAAGCCACGCTTTGCTTGCAGCGTTTGATTGGCAAGCGAGGTCGTCTCCGACATGATTCCATCTATCTCATGTTTCTAAACAGAATCTATGTAGTCATGAAAATCCGGAAATAAGTTACCAAAAAAAACAAATGAGAGAAAAAGAGCAAGAAATCCATGGATGACGCCTGATTTAAAACCATGCAGCAGCATCAGGGCAAAGCAACAACGTTCTGGAGTTCGAGGGCCGGGCCTTTTTGGCCACTGGAAGGGAACAGAGGTCGCATCGAACAAGAAAACTCAGCGGGTTGCATGTGGCAGGGATTCTCCACATCACGATGATGTTTCCCGAGGCATCTGAAGAGGATAAGTCCACTTACCTCGAGTTTTTCTCGTGGATAGCTGAAGTTCATCATCTTGCTAGCAATTCCTTGACGTTGATGTGGTGTACTTACGCTTAGGATTTCCCTAAACCAGAGCGAGAATTTTCTTCTCCCATGTCCAAAATCATTAGTTGGCACATACATATGTATAACTTTCTTAACCTCTTCTGGCACAAGGTCGAAGAACGAGTTGTGCAGCTCATTAAGAATCCATCCTAAAGCAAAATTCATGAAGGAGGAAAGAAAAAGAAGAATTTGAATTACACTCAGCTATTCGTGATTGCTCACTGCTTCTTAAAGGCACGGTCCGCGATTAGGTACAGTCGTCATCCGGGCAGTTGATTAGGCGGTCAAAGGGTCGCAGACGCGGCTGCGGCGCGTCACGACCGCGGCGATCAGCTGTTTCCAGCCTATTTAGCCATTTTCTCCCTAATTTTACTGTATTAATTATTTTTTCAAGGTAAGTTGTTTTTTCTTTATAAAGCATACTAGAACGTAGATACCTTTTTTTGTTTCTGTAATGAAGTGTTTTTGAGATTTTTAGGATGTTTCATTGTTTGTTCGATATTCAGTAGTTCGCGAAAAAGTAGAGAAATCTCAATCATAATTTACCTTCGTAAGACAAGGAACAACTAACCTGAGAAAAGCAGCCAAAAACAGTGAAAATTAGGGAGAAAATGGCTAAATAGGCTGGAAACAGCTGATCGCCGCGGTCGTGACGCGCCGCAGCCGCGTCTGCGACCCTTTGACCGCCTAATCAACTGCCCGGATGACGACTGTATGAAAGTTGAACATATGGCGTCGGGAGTGTAGTGTGGTCCACGACGTATAGGTTTCGAGTCCAAAAATTGTAAGGCAGGGGCGCTATAGCGCAATATAGGTTCAATGACGCTTCCTTTTTCCACTGACTCCGCCTTCGAAGGCCCGTTTTCAGTGAAAAACGAAGCTGCAGGACGAAAAAGCATGAAAATCGTCACTTGTACGGTCGTAGAGTTCTTATCGGGGAATCAGCTGTGCGGATGAGAGGCGTAGGTATGTGGAGGTGGGTCGGGATCAGTCAAATTGTGATCAGAAGCGTGGGGTTCATCTAAAGGGCGGCTGGCATTTTTTGCTGCTTCTTCTTCGCTATCTACAGTCCTCATCATTGCGGACCGGTGGGGCGTGTCAGCCAGTATGAGTGTGCACACTGTTGAAGCCGTTCTCAGCCTTTTTGTTGAAACGCGTATGCGACAAAAAGTGGTAGAAAACGAGTAATACGAAGGATATAATACAGTAATGTCACTTGCCCGCTTCAACAACTGGTGCAGAATGACTGTGGCACAGCGCCAAACGCAGCCGCGCTGACACGCTCCACCACTCCGCAATGATGAGTACTGTACGTTAGATCAGAACAAATCAGCTACTTCCTACATACTGCAAACGCCAGCTAATCCGCTACTCAGTGATGATCGCTGGCGCCTTTAATGAACTGTTAGTGCCTGTTGCCTTCATGCGATAAAACACGAGAATATTGCGAGCTGGCGATTCTTGTTCGCAAACTTTCTGTTCATGAACGGGTACGACAAAACCGAAGAATCCGCTTGAACGCTTGGAGAGGAGCGGATCTCACCGAAGGCAGAAACACGAGGATCAGGATTTCCAAGTTTGAGTTCGTGCTTTCCGTCTGTTCTGTTGGAAATGGAATTCAGCAGTACAGCGACAATGTCGCCAGTTCCTGAAAAATGTTCAGTGCAGAAATATTTTTACACAAAAATACAGGCGTGGTGTGCAGCAAATGCTACTTTTGTTGTTGTTTTGTTTCAATCTAAGTTCAGAAGAAAATCGACAAAAGCGGCTCACCGTACAATATAGGAGATCAAAACACAGCGTGATCAATTTGACCACTTGATCGCGCGAGTGGTGTGGTATATAAGCGGGACCCAAGACATCCTAAGCATTATCTGCTTGCCAAGGGCCAATATCGTCAGTCGTTAGCTTTCTACTAGATACTTTTCCAGCAATAAACCGTTTAAAGTATTCCAAGCAGCACTGTCAGCAATGTCACAATCGCGACAATGAGTCTCTGCAATCCTAGTGCATGCGTATGATTAGCATCTACGACTCGCCCATCCCACTGAGTATTAGCATTAATCCCAAGAGGACCATTTTCACTTACAATTCACCACTTTTTGAACTAAGTTCACCACTTTTCAAAACAAATTCACCATCACTTTCCAAATCAAATATCCACACTTTAGGGCAACTCATCAACCAGATCACGCCAGACATCACTGCGAGCCCCGACGGCCACGCCCACTTGTCAGCGCGGACATAGATTCTCAAATCTTGTTTCATAACTTCTGCTTTTGCTGTTTCCCACAAACACTTTGACTGAAAACGACCGGGCATTGACACATGGCCGACTCCGCCCATTCTCTAAAGGGTTTGGCAATCTAGGCTCCGCCCCCTTGACCACGCCCACTTGCTTTTTGCGGAATTTTGATTTTTTTAAATTTTTGCATTTTTGGACTGCTACGTGAAGCCCCGCCCACTGTGAGAGGCTCCGCCCACTTCGAAGAAGCCCCGCCCACTTTTCAAAAATGGTGCAAATCGGCAGTATAGAGTCTCGGCTGGCATGCTAGGGTATTGCTGATCATTCGAAACAAAC